AAATAGTTTATCCTTAAAACTCTCCACAACCTCTCCTAAACTTCATATTTATACTGAATGTTTAACAAAATTTAAATATTTAAACTCTATGAGGGTTAAACTGTGCAGAGGACCTGTCATAACACACATCTCATGATTAATTCATAGGCAGTCCATTGAAGGATAAAATACTTTGACTACATATTCATTTAAAAGAACTCGGCTGAAAAACTGCCTCAAGTAAACTATACATGTGTTTAGGTGGATAAATTGTGAATAATGCGGGTGTGAAAAAGCTGGTTTCTCATTTCTTTCACTGCATGTCATCCTCCCCTTCCCTCCCCCTATCTGTCTTTTCCTACCAAGAATTTTCTGGGATGGTGCTGGGAAAGGTAAATCTAGGATAAAAGAACAGTAACAGGGAATGCGTGAAGAGTTTGAAAGTGGGAGATATGCCGGTCACAGGGAGTTTTCCTTGCAGGCTGCACCTTTTCCCTACCTCTCCTCATGATTTCTCCATGCTTAACACACTCTTCACACATCCTTTCTACTTATCTCGCTTTCTGTTTATCACAGTAGGAAAATGAAATATGGTGCAAAAAAAAGAAAAAGAAAAGAGTGCTGCTTTCATCCAAACTTTACATAGAGGACTGAATTAACATGCATCCTCATCATCATATGCAGTCAACTCACAGTCAGTCACAACTCACTTAATTTACATGTAACTCTAATAATTCATTCATCATTCATTCACATATTTTCCTACAGCACACCCCTATAAAAACACATTTGGCCTAAACATTTTTTTTTTAAATTAAAACATCAGGGCTGTCAATGGAGCAAATGATATGATCTAGATTGCCGTTTGAACAGCAGGTAAGGGACATTTGGCTACTGAGATTAGTGGTCAGTCATACGTTAATGTGCAATGACAGAAATCCCAAATATTGGACTGTATTCTGGAATTAAATCCAAACACTAAAGTTTGTGACTGCCCATGTTTACAAGTCACTTATAATAAGTGGATAGAGACAATTCTTAATATAAGAGGAAAGCCTAAAAGTGAGGACTTTGGGGCCCTGAGCCGCAATGTTGTCAGTGGCAATAATAAATGCGAAAGAAGTGTGTTACGAAGACATATGCTGCATTCCAATTCAAATCTCTGATTTTCCCACCTCCTACTTGAAAATAATGTCTGGAATGCCGCTCCTAGTAGGACATCTGACTTGTAAACTTGGGGCAGATCGACCAACCCCAACCTCAGCAAGACGCTTCATTTGACGTCATTTACAATATGTAGTGACCAACGAGCATAGTGTTCAGTTTGGTTATGTGGAACTCTTATGTATTTTGCTGCACGAATTGTATAAATGTGCAATATATTAAAGTGGTCATATGATGCTGCTAAAAAGAACATTATTTTGTGTATTTGGTGTAATGAAATGTGTTTATGCGGTTTAAAGTTAAAAAAACACATTATTTTCCACATACTGTACATTATTGTTTCTCCTCTATGCCCCGCCTTTTTGAAACGCGTCGATTTTTACAAAGCTCATCGGTCTGAAAAAGCGAGGTGTGCTGTGATTGGCCAGTTATCCAGTGCGTTGTGATTGGCTGAACACCTCGAGCATGTGACGATCGTGATGTAGATATGTGGGGGCGTGTTAGAACGAGGCGTTTTAGGTAGGCGTGGCTGACTCTGAACTTTTATAAAGAATATCTCTTTGGATTTGAGACTTTAGTCTTTGCAACTTTACAGACCTTCTTTATGCACCAAGAGCTTGTAACACTCCAAAGAGAAAGGGAAAATTGAAATCGCATCATATGACCCCTTTAATATAAACATACCACAAAAATTGTTTGTGTATCAATGAATGCTTATGTATTCACCTGTTTTGCTTGTTGAGTAACTGCTAGACCGACAGATATCTAGCGCTAACCTCTGGGACCGCATACCATTATATTTGACATAGATTGTTTACAAGTTTTGAATAACGAATGACGATAAAGAGATTTTGTGAAAGCCTGGTGTTGCTTTAATTCACGTTTTTGCCGTAATTGGCAGAACACTAAATGTTTTTGTCATGGCACCATCTTGTGTTGTGTGAACTGGAATGCACTCGAATGCAGCATTACATTATGGGCTGTTGAATGCTTGAATCTGATTGGTTGAAGATTGTTCTATGGTGTGCAATTATTTTTCAGAAAAAGGCAAGGCTAAAGTAGTTCCGGGCAGGTCTTGACACCATTACAGTTCCATATCACTTTGCCATATGATCTCCAATACAAACACACACATACAGTAGAGACACGCACACAGAAACTTGTTGTCAGCACCTCTGACCCGTGACTTTAAATAAAACAGGTTCACGGCTAAAAAAAAAAAAAAAAGCTAAAAAAATAAAACAGTTTTCAGTAGCAAGGTAGTAAAATCCCTGTTCTTGAAGCAGTGAAACTTATAGTGATGCTATTAGTAGAGACGCTGCTGGCAAACATAATTTAACAGCCCATGGCCAATTATTTCAAACATAACTGACAATGACAATAAAGAAAGCAAATTTTGAAGAGCGATGATGTAAACACAATTCAAATATTGAAGCTTTGAAATTAATAAATATTTAATGCAATATATTTTTTAAGACTTTTTTTTCATAATTTATTTGCAGATTTAGTTTATTTACTAAAATTCCTATTTTTCTAAATTTCTTTTTCATTATTTTATTTTATTAAAATATATACTGTATACACACACAGTTCAAAAATTTGGGGTTTAAATTGATTTTGAAATAAAAAAATTCATATTTCAGCAATGATTATTTAAATCGCTCAAAAGTGACATTGAAGACATTTCTATTTCAAGTAAATGGTTTTCTTTTTTCGTCAAAGAATCCTGAAAATAATGTTGTTCACAAAAAATATTAAGCATCACAACTGTTTTCAACATTGATGTATGAAATGTTTCTTGAGCACTAAATCAGCATATTAGAATAATGGACAATGGACAATTTTAAATATATTAAAATAGAAAACAGTTATTTAAAATTTTCACAATTTTTCACAATATCCCTGTTCTTTACTGCATGTTAATGCAGCCTTGGTGAGCATAAGCCCCTTCTTTAAAAAAACGAGTGGACTGTAGTGTGTGTGTGTGTGTGTGTAATGGGGCTGTGGGGGTCTGTTAGAAAAAAAAAACACACACACTGGTAATAGAGGGAGTAAAGGGACTTGGTTTGAAGTCTTTCAGTGCACAGGGATCAGCTGAAAAGCAGGAGAGATGAACCTCAAAATGATCGGCACGGCAGCCTGTGAGTTTTACCACAATGACAGTCTGTTTTAAAAAGAGAAGTCATCATTTTGAGAGCAAAATCAATAGAGCAGCCTTTTAAAAACCTAGTCTCAGCTGAGCAATCTCTTTTTTTGAAAAATAATCAAAAGAAAAGGAGCAAGAGGCACTGCTGAACGCTGCTCATTGATCTTCATTCAGCCTCCTAATCCAGTCCAAGTGTGTTTGACTGATCTGATCTCTGAATCTCGGGTCGTTCCTTCCCTGCTGAGGAGTCAATACCTCAGCTTGAGAGACAATCTTAAAGTACCCATCACTTCCTCAGGCTCCCCAAGTGACAGACATTAGAGCTGTAGTCTCTCTGTGGGTGAACTATTCAAGGATTTGGTTATATTACACCAAGACTTTGCCAGCCTCTATGCATCTCTCTCAACGGACCATCTTACATTTGAAATATCGAAATCAAAGAAAAGGATCTGCCCTGGAAATTACAAAGCAAGCGCAATTGAGTGGAGGCCTTTAAAGGTTTAAGTCTGATCAAATTTCCTCAGAGATTCAGCAGGTGATTCTTTATTCATCTTTTCTTTTTTTGAAAGACACATAGGAAATGTATTTCATTTCATTTGTTCATGACTGAAAAAAAAAGCTTAGCCAGTAGTAGTGGTCAATCAATCAATCAATCAATCTATCTATCTATCTATCTATCTATCTATCCATCTTTCTATTTATCTATCCATCTATCAATCCATCCATCCATCCATCCATCCAGACGGATCAATGGACAGACAAACAGATAAATAGAACGATGATAGACATAACTACCTTTCCTATATAAAGGCTTTCTATGACATTTAGAATAGGTTTTTGTGGTTTCTACACTAAATGGGCACATGACAAGCCAAAACACTGACAAAGTCATACACCAGAAGCATATACTACCTTTATCTTCACTGGACAGGCACTGTCAACGAACAGAAAGCGTTGTCTGTGTGGAAGTTGTGTGAAGCACTCAACATAAAGCAAATACTTTCCAATGCTCTTCCACAGTGTGATACTGTCTCCATCTGCTGGTAGAATCATGGAGGCTACATGTTCAGTGCAAACTTTAAACATACTGATGTATGAAAGCAAATTTTCATGTTATAATGGTCAAAGTAATTTGTTAAAACCAAAGCACACGCTGAGGTGTTATTCTGAAACAGATGTTCTGAATAATAAAATATTCAATACAGGTGTGTGTGGGTGCATGTTCACAAACCAACAAGAAATGGTGTTTATAACACATTTCAGAGTAAAACGTGTTGTAAATGTGTTTAATAAAATTTATTAAATAAAAATGCTGAGCGGGACTTGATTTTATCAGGAACTGTGAAAAAAACAAAAACAATGTGGGCTTGGCATTTGCGATAAAAGTAATTTCTGAGGCGTTACATGTTACTATATTTTGAAGAAGAAAAAAAATTATGAAGACTGATGAATCATGAATTGTGACATAGCGGAATTTCAACATGGTGAATAGTCAATTTTGTGCATGTCTTATGAAATGCCACTGAAGTGTGAACCAAAGCAAGTGCAAAGATACAATGTAGTTCAGTGAAGACATTCTCAACAATATTCCACAGCATAAAGCTGCTCTTGTATTCATGAAGTCCAGTGAATGTCAATAATTATCCTTATGAATAATTATAATTCCATATCCAATCTCATTCAGTGTCTTATCCAAAGCCTTGTTCCATTGTCAGGCCAGTTTTATTGCTCCTAAGAAGGTGGAATCCCCATCCAGAGAAATATTTGCATGAGTACGAGGTATCAGAAGCTCCAGTCTGTCCCCAGAATCCAACTTCACTACACCTGCACATCACATGCTCAGTTACATTCATTTGTAATAATAGGTACATTATATATTTATCCATATACAGTATGCATTGCACTTCTCTATGAGACATTTATATCACTTTAATAGCAGAACGTTGTTTTTTAAAAAAATATATGATATGATATATCTGTAGTGCATTTCCTGGTCATATGCTATTTCTGGACTTCCTGACTGTGTGAAAACAAATGTGGCTTAGATTCTGTAACTGGGTCATTGTCAAAAAATCTGTCAGGAGCATGTCTGGGTCATATTAAGACCCAGTCATATTAAAGGGGTCATATGATGCGATTTCAAGTTTTCCTTTCTCTTTGGAGTGTTACAAGCTGATTGTGCATAGATAAGATCCCTGAAGTTGCAAAGACTAAAGTCTCAAAACCAAAGAGATATTCTTTATCAAAGTTAAGACTCTGCCACGCCCCCCTAAAACGGCTCGTTCTAACACGCCCCCACATATCTACCTCACTATATGGAAATATTTGCATAATGCGCCCAAATGTGCAAGCAAAGAAAGAAGGCGTGGTTTCAGTAACCGCAGTTACTGTTGAAGCAGCCATGTCAAGGAGACGCTGTGTGTTTCTAGGCGAAAGCAAAAGCACTTTATTTGGCCTTACGAAAGTAGATGCATTTAGGAATCTTTAAGATTAACGTCATTATTAACTGATATTTACTTTGAAAGGTGAAGCTCGCGGTTATGGTAAGGGGTGTTACATTTCCGATGAGTGCTTGCGGTGTTTGGCCAATCACAATGCACTGGGTCAGCTGGCCAATCAGAGCAGACTGCGCTTGTCGGAAGGAGGGACTTTGTAGAAAACGAAGCGTTTGAGAGAGGCGGGGCATAGAGGACCTACAATAATGTACAGTATTTGAAAAATAATGTGTTTTTTGAACATTAAAGCATGTCAACATATTGTTACACCAAATACACAAAATAATGATCTTTAAAAAAGCATCATATGACCCCTTTAAGTAAGAAATTGTATTTTGATTAAAGAAAATTGAGCTTATTTTTGGACCTAAGGTGTGTATATATATATATATTATACTTTATATATTACCTTATATTATACCTTAGTGTCCAAAAATATTTCTGTACATATATTCCGAGCTTAGGCAATATTGTATTGTTTACAGTCGTGCCGATAAAGCAATTTTGAATTTGAATTTACAATATATAATGTATATTATAAAATATATAAAAATACTTTGAAAATAATGAGATTTAGAAAAGCCTGGGAAGTAAAATGTCTAGATACATTACAGTAATGAGAATTTGCACTTTGTAACTCTTTAGTAACACTGATAAAGTAGCAGGCCTTTCCACGCTCACCTCCAGTGTAGCACGTGTTGAAGTGATTGACTCGATTCATGCTCTGAATACAGCGGAACAGAACAACGTGCTGACTCTCGTCTCCTACGACGTTCTTCTTTATACGAATCACGATGTGGCCCATAGCGAACGTAGAGTCTGTGTAGTAAACCTGGGAAAAGGAGAGCTTGAAATAATGAGGAAAAAACACTGAGCACGGTATTGGGATATTTCAAAGAGGCCAAAAAACTCAAGAACGTGTTAAATATTCACAATTTATATACCTGACTATAGATAAAGAAGAATCCTCCCTCTTTGACTAAAATGGTGCCCTGCTCTTCCTCCAGAGCTGAGCCACGCTTCAGTCCGACTTGCCATGGGATGGCTGTGCATAATTCCAAAGCAAACTCTAACAAAAAATTAACACAGAGAGAGAGAGAGAGACCATCTTCTGAAATTAGGGGCTTCCTCAAATGCAAAAAAACTTCAAATTCAACAAGTGGCCAGGCAAGGAAATGTGTCTATGGATGCTTAAATGTGAAATTAAATGAAAATATTTTCTCTTGTTCTGCTCACATATTGACTTAAATGTTTGCCGTTGTGTCGAATATAGAATATCATCATTTGATAACAGTCTAATCAGTATGATAGATTCATAAAACAATCTGAGCTGACATGTGCTGCTCAAACTGCAACGATCCAACATAATCTCATTGCAGTTCATAACTATTTGATGTTTTAGCGAATTAGTGGCTAATTCGTATGAATTTGTACGATCTCATTCATACGTTTTAGTACGATCTGACAGTTATGTTTAGGGTTGGCGTTAGAGGCAGGCCTTCATACTTATTTTAAATTTTTTTCTAAAAATGTTACATTTTCATGAATTTTACAAAATCGCTACCTTGCAAAATAGTTACGTTTTCCCATGAGATCGGGTTGTAAGGTCAGACCAAAATAATTAGGGAATTTGAATTTGCAATGTCATGCAATCTATTCTACCACTGGGAATTCTCAGATTATATGTAGAAAAGTAGGTGTTACATCTATGCAGATTTCCCCTTATTACCTCACCACAACATGTTTCTGGACACCCAACTGATGTCACTGACATGTTCACAATCACATGTGTGAAGCCACAAAGTTACAGGAGTTCAGAACATGTCATTGCAGGCCAGTTCTAATAAAAAGCTCTTTTTAGACTGGAAATGATGTTTTGATTTCTAAAAGTTACAGTGTGCTTTCATAGTACAATGAACTAGCACTAGCAAAAGCAAGGTCATAATTGATAAAATGGATCAAATGAACGTAATTTAACTTAAGTCTATGCCACTCCTCCAGTACCTTTCTGGAATGTGTTTCTCTTGTTGTTTGCCATCATCTGTAAGCAGGGCTGGGGTTCTGTGGAAGGGCAGAAGAGTTTTTTTTTTTTCACAGAAAAAAAAAAAAAAAAATACACAAGCAAAATAAAATGTAATTTGTTTACTGTGAACGTACATGTATTCTTATTACACATTTCTTAACTGAGTATTGTCTGTAAGAGATGACAATGATCATGGTGGTGCAACTCTAATAATAATATCATAAGGGTTTTGCATTCAGTGACTCATAAAGCAACAGGATATGCAAATGTCTAATGGTGCACTTTTGCACAATATGCATGTTATGTTTTTTATTTATTGAGTAGTTCTAATCTTACACCATCTGTGCTCCGCACCAAACCCACAGCACTTCTCAGTTAACACTCAAAAAAGAAAAGACGAGATGAGCATCACGGAATAAGCAGAAGTGTGGTCTTGCCTGCTTTATTTGAAGTATGACCCAGGCTCCTTTTTGACAGGACAGTATGGTCTGTTATGGTATCATCCATCTCAGTCTGCTGCAGATACTGTACACAGACAACCAGCTTAAGTTTCAAGGTGGTCTGTTATTGGCACAGAACTGATAAAGCTGGTTATAGTGTGTGGTAGATTATAATGGCCACCTTGACCAGCATGAACGTGCCCAAAATATATCTGCATCTAGGTTGGTCACTAGCTAAACCAGTTTAGCTTTTTTTTCTTCTTCTCCCAATTAGACAAGTAGATGGGACTGGTGCTAGTTGTCACACTTTTTTACTTTATTTTAGTGACTATTTCTTATGTCAGGAATATTTCTGGAAAGTCCATTTCTGTTTAGGGACATACATTAAAGTCTTTTGACTACAAAAGTATTGACTAATGCCACTTATAGCAGCATATAGCTCTGCTTATAGCAGAGTTGAACTTGTTTAATAATTGACGATGAAATTTGCAACATTGACACTGTTATTGACCTGAACAGAGTCATTGAGGAACTGCAACATTAACACTGTCAATTTACGTGTTCTCCAACAACCCATTGGACCCCGAACATTAAAGTTACTGAGATATAACCATTGAGACATCTTCCCCATGTCACAACTAACTGCTATTTATGCAATTCCTTCAAATTCATCACATTTACAAGACAGCTTTTAGGAAGGACATTTGATGTACATGTGTTGTGGTCCAAACCTCAATTCTCTCTTTGTCCTCTTCTTCTTCCTGCTGATGGGTTTGTTTTTCTGCCCCCTTCATGGGTTCCTCTAGTGTCCCGCTTTGCTCCTCTCTCTTGCGGACCACCTCGGCTCTCAAACCCTCCACCTCGGCCTGCAGGGCCAGCACATGGTACAGGGAGATCACAGACAGGGAAGAGGAGGTGATTGCAGCAATGACCAGCACCAGAAACAGCCATGGCAACCTTCTCCTTTCACCCCGACCTGGACCAACATCTTCAGCAGGCATGGTGGAAACAAACTTTTAGGAAATACGGTTATTAGTGGATCAATTTAGCCCGAATGGCATATAGACAGATTCTGAAGAAGTTTTATTTCTTTGAAGATCTCAACCCACCTCAAAACATAACTTCAATCATGCAGGATCCTTACAGTGAGAGGTTTCTGCTCAGAAAGAAGCTCATCTGGAGGTTTTCTTTATGTCTGCTGAATCCAATTCACCTTCACATGGCATGAATGTTCCTCTGAAGCTCTTAGCACACATTTCTTTCAGAAACGTTCTGGATCAGACTCTTATACATAACTTCCCTTCCTCTTCACGCTGATATTTGTTGATATAGAGGAAAACTCCTGTGATCTACAAAAGCAACCGCACTTACAAAAAACGTCCCGTCTGCTACAATTCTCCAGCTAACAGTCTGGTTTTTGTGTCTCTTTCCTGCCGAGCTATCCACACCCATTGTATTTAACACTGCACTGCAACTGAAAGTTGCTTTGTCACCACTTTCTTTGTGGCTGTTCCGACAAACTGCGTCAAATGTGCAAAGATAAACAGCAGATAAATGAAAATGTCATGTTTGTTATCATAGAATATCAGCACAGAAGAATGTATATAAATGACGCGGACCAGTAAAACGAAAGCTATTCTTGGTAGAAAATCAAAAATAACAAAAACAAAAACATCAGTTTCATTATTTTTAAAGTGGAGTTTCCAGAGTGAAAACAAAAAACAGGAACCAGCAGCTTCAGAGTACAAATAGACTCTTGCAGGCAAGTTATCAGAAGGGATTGATTTCTTTATTGCATGTCACCACACAGAAAATAGAAAGTGTGATTTAATTGTATGTACATGAACAAATGATTCGAATAGAAAACCCAGAGCTCAAAACACAAATGTCGAAAGAATAAGAAAACCTTCCTTGCACATTCAGAACTGAATCTTTCCGCTCTGCTATTTACTGTAAAAAGCAAATATAAAACATGAGCAGCACTTTATATTATTTCATTCAGTTTACGAACAAGATGAAATGAGATTTCAACATACGAACTAGCCCCAGAGAATGGCCAGAACATGCCAATGGTGTGTTAGTCAAATCTAGTAAACTCTAAAGTAGTTTTTTTCACTATTTTATCATATTTCAGCATCTTTGTTTCAAGTTTAACACTCAACCACACAGACATTCAATAAGGTATCATGGCACGTCACTTTGAGTTCAACTAAATGACACATTGCAAATTATTTTATTCTGAAAATATTTCCTATTCCGTTTAGAGGCAGTTCTTATGAATTAGGCCTATATGATCAATAATGACCATTACGAATATTTCTTTTAAAATCAAAATGTCAACAAATTGATATACAAAAGTATCTTATGTCCTGAAACCACCCAAAAGCCGACGTCATGGGAACTTTTTCTCTTGCATTGGCTGGTTCCACTTCTTACTCAATTACAACTGTCCTGTTACCACATAACTAATAAACATAAATAATACTAGACATAACTGAAGACATCTAGAGCTCAGCTGTGCTACTATACAATCTCTTAAGCACCCTTGAGAACGACAGGTGCAAAAGAGCCCGTCAAGTTCCGAAAGGTGGACTTTGGAAGCCTGGCATAACCTCTGGTTTGAAGATAGCAACATTTGCATGCAAACTGACATAGGATCAATCTGCCTTGAAATCTGTCATCTTAAAATTCACAGGCAGTTTTCACGCATTACAACAGATGTGAGCGTAAAAGTGCGCCAGAGCTAAACGAAATGTGCTGAGCATCTAAAGCATGCAATAATTACAGACTTGGATGTGCACTGATCCAGCACTACATCATAATGGGCCAGGTTTGCAAAGTCCACCGTTCACCTTTTAATGGGTGCTTGACAGTCAACCACCAATGTGAGACTACAGAAGCACAAACCTCGTGTCTTTACCCCCGATTCAATACATTAAATAGTTGAAAGAATGGAAATTCTTCTGTGGAACACAAAAGGAGACATTTCAAAGAATGTGCTGGTTGCTCTTCAACTACAATGAATGAGGAAAGAACCTTTCAAGGAATCTGTTGATCTGTGTTGCAAAGACCTCACAATTCTAACAGATTCAACTCAAAGTTCAACTCCCTGGAGAAGATTTTTAGTGAATAACAAAACGTTCATTGAGTGCCTTCAAAATATAAGTTAAACTTTATGATACTCTCACTTTTATTAATGAGTCCTTCTGAAGAAGATTGAGGCTTCTACCAGCAACTTAATGGAAAAGAGTGACTAATGCACTCTTCAAAATTTCTCCTATTGTGTTCCACTGAAGAAAAAGTCATACAGGTATGGAGCATAAATGATGAGTAAATGATGGCAATTTTAATTTTTGTGTTAATTAACCCTTGCATTATTGTGAATGTTTCTGCTTTTTAAGGTAAGTGCAAGAAAATGGATGTGCGACACAGTGCAACAGTCACCATTGGGCAGGTTTTTCCAACATGATCCAAACAAAACAGGGCATTGGCAGAGATTTGATGTTAAGCAATTGACCTTATTAAAAGAAGGAACACATCTTATTTACAAGTTGTGCAAATGGACTGTGCTTGGAACACTGTCAAGCAGCTGCTATGTGTGATTTCACTCTTACTTTCAGAAGATCACTAAGCCTGAGAAAGAGTAAACATACTTTAGGCTTCTTGGGTTGGTATTTTCATTCAGTGCTCACAGTGAACTGCAGCCCACATGAAAATTAGTATAGAAATCTATACTTCTCACACACAGCTCCATATGCAAAGCCAAGACATGGGATCAAACCACAATGAGCCGATTTCCTGAGTGGATTTTAAACCTTCCGTAAAAAAAAGAAGGCAGTGTGATAAAATAAAGCTCCAACACATTACAGCCGGGTTCAGAAGATTGAATGCATGAAATGCCATAGACAAAATGAGTGAACTAGGATCAGTTGCCCCTGGTCCATTTAACTGTATTCACAGGAATTTAAAAGGCAAACAATTTGAATGAGCCCTCTGTTTAAAAAAAAAAAAGTGTATACATTACATATAAACAAAATAAATAAAAATAGAGCTTCTCAGTTTGTTAGAGTTGTTTAGTTTAGCAGTCCTAAAACCTAGGAGTTTTTGGAATAGTAGTCAGTGGTTAACAAATTACATACAGCCATACTTCAAATGTGATTTTTAAAGCCGTTTTGTTTTCTAAATGTGTAAATCTCAAATTAAAGTAATCTTTTTAGCAAATTTAACCTTACCGTTACCAACTTCTACAATTTTTATGTATGAAATATAAGAGGTAGGACAAACGTGACAGTCTCCTCATATAATAGTAACCGCAGACATTATTTTAGTCACGTATTTTAAACCACTATTCTAAAAAACTGACATCTAGACTGAAGAGTTCAAACTAAGAAAGAAGTTCTGACCATTGTGATTAGGCAAACAACTATTTCCAATTGCGTTTGCAGGTGGTGGGGCTATTAGAATACTTATGAGGGCAGAAATTGTGGGTAAATAAAAAAGGACTCAAAGGGCATTAAATTCTTGAGGCAGGTGCATTCATACTTGATATATAAAAAACGACAAAAAAAAATTCTGAAGGCTTAAAAAATTCATCCTTCTCTATTAAATAAATGAAATTGTAAATAATGAATTCTTGGTGTGTGATCAATGGAAAGAAAGAGCGTAGAAGTTGGGGAGAAGAGAAATAATAATAACAAAGAAAGAATAAATTGTACATTCTATCTGAGAGGGTCCAGATTTAGAGCAGTCAATAGTAGTTACTCTTCTAGATTATGGTGACGTTGGTCGTCCCCTGGGCCGTCTCTTCTCGGGCATGGCTTTTTAGAAGCTCTTTCATAAACTGCTCTAGGGCGGCAAAATAACCCTGGCACTGCCAGGTGTCATTGTGCGTACCCTCAGCAAAGATGGCGAGGCGTTTAGTCCGAGATGGCGACAGCTCGTACAGCTGTTTCATCATCACCGGAGGGATGAGTTGATCTGATAAGCCCGAAATGAAGAGAGATGGCATACGGCACAGTGCCACATGTCTATAGGACAGAAACTTGTTCTTGTAGCACCAGAGCGGTAGGTAACGCATGGGGAAGAAAGAGAACAGCGTGGCCGCCATGTGCGGGATGCTCAGGAAAGTGTTCTCCACCATGATGGCGGCCACTCGATGCGGGTTGCATGATGCCAGACGGATGGCCACTGCGCCACCCAATGAGCGGCCGAAAAGCACCACCTTGGTCTTGTCGATGTCCAGTCGGGTCATGACGTAATCCAAGGTGGCCTCTGCGTCTTGGTACAGTCCCTCTTCGCTAGGTTCTCCTTCGCTTTTTCCATAGCCTCTGTAGTCCACCAGAACCACGTTGACCTTCAGGTTGACCAGCATGAGCAGTGCATTTGGGACACGGTGGCCGATGTTCCCCGCATTGCCGTGGAAATATAAAATGGTGGGAGCAGAGGCGGGGTTTTCGCCAGTGCAACGGAGCAGGATGAGGTTGAGCCGCGCACCGTCTTTGCTGCGGATGTAGACGTTCTCGTGGGGGATTCCCGCCGGCATGGGGACGTAAAGGCGCGATGATGAGGGCTGGTCGGGAAAGTAGAGCAGGACATCCTGGAACTTGTACAGGATGCCAGCCACTGAGGCCAGGATGAGTCCCAGCAGTGTGAAGCCTCCGTACAGGTGGAAGGTCAGAATGAGGGCCAGCAGGGAGACACGGCAGACTGCCCAGGACCAGGCGCACACTGTCAGCAAACACGCCTCCAGTGCCCCCCATAACCTCCATGGCTTCTCCATGACAACCGGGATGACAACAGTCTCCGAACTCACTTCAGGTGTAATCTGTGGAAACACAGAAGGTAGGTTAGTAGGGTGGGGCGATGTCATTATATTTTAGAGAAATACAATTTTTTTCCAAGAATGCCAAAAATCTAACTTGATTGTAGTAAATGCTGCATTATTTTAAACAGTATTATATTAAAATGTAATTTAAAAAATATTTCAGTTAAAAAAAAAAAAAAACTTAAAAAAATGGATATACTACTTCAATGGCAAGTGTTTCTTCCTATTTTCCCCTCTTATGGTAAGACATGGCAGGCCAAATCAATGGTCATAACAGGCCAACTTTGACCCCGAAATGAGGACAAATTTGTGAAGTCAATGTGAATTGCCAT